GAATTAAAAAGTTAAATTAAACGCGATGAAATCCGTAAAAATTAGTTACATTTAATGTTAATACGTAATTACAAAACACTATTCTTATAAAATATAGTAATCACGGTTACTAAGCACTATATTGTTATGCATTTACGCCAATACTGCGGTGATAGTAATTTACCAAATCATACAAAAATAAAAAGGTATTCTGTACCGTTTAATGGCGATGTAAGAATATCCACTACCACATATCGTCACGTGGGTGTCGTAAGAGGTGACAGAGGGAAAATGAAAAAGAGATCTTCCTGATAACAACTCGAGGTAATAATAAAAAAACTGTGATTGACAACTAGCTCGCCAGTCGTGTCAACAATGGCAAAATCCTCCCTATGGAGAAATATATGGGGGAGGCCTATGTTCAGCAGTGGACAGTGGCTGTAATGGATGGATTCTGTAAGAGCGTGGTCCTTCTCCGGTCGACTCGGCCCATTCATGCTACAACTATAATATAGCTGAACAACAGAACCACGCTCTGGCATTAATTGGCAGTACAATGTAATTTTTCTCTGTCGCCTCTTACGGCACCCTGGGATACGGGGTAGTAGATTCTTTTACGCCGCTGTTACTCGACGTATTGGTGATAAATTATATTGGTTAATAGTATATTAAAAAAAATTAAGTATTGTAAGCAATTATTCCACTTGTGATGTTAGAAATATTCTCAAAATTATTTAAAGGTAAATTATTAAGAATAACTCAAAAACTATTAGTCACACCTTGATAAAATTTATATTGGACCACATGAGAAGCACCAGCTTTCAAATAAAAAAGAATCATTATCGAAATCGGTCCACCGACAAAAAAGTTATGAGGTAACACACATATAAAAAAACATACAGTCGAATTGAGTACCACATCCTTTTATAAATCGGTAGATAAAAGAACACTACTCGGTAACAAACCCTGCTTATTATCAGGACTCAATTACATGATAACACTAATCATCACAGTCGGTATTTCTAAAAGTTTCTCTGTCGTTAATATTAACGATAGAGAAACTTTTAGAAATACCGACGGATGCCTCCCAGTCGTTTGCACGATACTTTGTACTGCTGGAATAGTCACCACCTAGAAACTAGTTATTTTAAAAAGAAGAATAGCAGTTTGATGCTGTTGTATTTCGTATGGTAATTACAGAACCAGAGACACTTTTCAATGGAAACGAGGCATTCCATCTTAGTTTTCAGGGGTGCTTAATTCTTATTATCATTTGAGGATTTCATGAGGATTTAACGATGATGAGGATTCAAGTTGTTAGAGTCACGCTGCAGCTATATTATGATTGTAGCACGAATGGGTCGGCTCGACCGGGGAAGGACCACGCTCTCACAGAATACCAGCGTAAAACAGCATTTTAATTCTGCTGTGTTCGTATGGTGAGTGTAAAGAACCGGAGACCCTTTTTACTGGAAAGGAGGCATTTTATCTCAGCGCTAAGGGGCGATAACGCATCTGCATTTTATTTCTTAATTGAAGATAAATGAAGATGTCTATTGGCCACAGCATCTACTTAACATCAAGTGGAGTATGTGCACATTTGTCGTCTTAATTCTATAATAAAAAAAGAACACTGGTCGGTCCAAATACTTTAATAAATAAAAATCCCAAATTTTGCTTTGACGTGGATTCAAATTTAAATAAACCCCTTTCATTTCACACGTAATTTAATCCTTTTCACACATCAATACGAGTATTTACACCGTAGTAGAGGAGGTTGCTTTAATCCCACGTTTGACCCGGATCAACTAAAATTAAATTACAACAGTGCTAATCTCTTATAATTGTATTTATATGCGTGTATGTGTGGGCCTTTGTTGTCTGAAATAAACATATGAAAATTTTATAATTTTGCTCAAATGAATTTCGGAATCAAATTTTGAGCTTCACGTCCCATAGTACTGACCACAATTGTGGTAGTCGAGGGTCAGTCGTTAGCTCGAAGAGGTACGAAACATTTTTCTCGAAGCTTGTGTTGATCATGCCTTGTGACCATGAGCAGTCTCGCTGGAAAGTCTACGGTACATTTTTGCATTACACTACACAATCCATCATAGTTTCTTGTTATATTTAGACAGAGTCTTTAGTGCTTTGTCTCAAAAAAGAAGCTACGTTACTCTTTGGTAGAACAATCTCCCCCCCCCCCCCTTTTGCATTTATTTTTCAATACAGTTCATTAAATGCTGAATATAGGCCTCCCCCTTAAAGTGGTTCAACATTGGTATTTGCCATAGTTGCCACGCTTAGCAGGCGGGTTGGCAATATTGTTTATTATTTCGAGTTGTAGTCATGAAGATGCAGCTGTCCCTCTCCTATTCTGTTTTCTACCGACGCCTCCGACAACACCCACGGAATAATATGTGTTAATGAATACGCAACCACTACATACCCCCCAACTATTCATTATTGACGCCGGTTAATCGCAACGTGCTACTTTTACAAAAATTTACTTCTTTAGAACTGCTCTTTAATCGTAAAACTAAACATATGGCATCATGGCTCACTGATGATCTGAAAAGGCTTATTTTGCAGAAGAATGCGGCATTGTCAAAGCTTAAGAGGAATAAAACAGAGGAAAACGTAAGAAAATACGCCAAAGTCAGGAATCGATGCAACACATTATGTAGAGATGCGCAACGACGCCATATTCATACATCAGTCGAGAACGGTGACTTATCTAGGGTGTGGAAGTTTCTTAAAACAGTTGGAGTTGGTAGATCATCCCTAAATGCTTCACCTCCTACTGTTGATTTTGAACTATTAAATCAACATTTTTCTAATCCTTCTAACTCTTTTGATAGGGAACATAAACTGCAAACACTTCGTTCACTTCCTGTAACTCCGACTCCTAATTATCCTCCGTTCGTTTTTAGTCAGTTTACTGAATGTGATGTTAAGAAGATCATATTCAAATGCTGTCGGTAGCGACAACATTAGCCGTAATATGATTGTTCCTCTCCTTGATGTTATCACTCCCATTATCACTTATTTACTTAATGCATCTGTCTCTTCCTCTAAATTCCCTCAAGCCTGGAAGAGTGCTCATATTATACCCCTTCCGAAGAGATCTAATCCCGTCAACCTCTCTGATTTCCATCCCATATCGATCTTACCTTTCCTTTCTAAAGTCCTTGAAAAACTTATTTGCCAACAGCTGACCCTTTTCCTTAATAAGCACAATTTATTGAATTCCTTACAATCCGGTTTCCGTTCTGGTCATAGTACGGCTACTGCCTTAATCAAAGTTACTGATGACATACTGTGGTAATGGATAATTAACAACTCACAGTCATGACCTTGCTGGATTTCAGTAATGCGTTCAATACTGTCGACTTCGATATACTGTTGAGTCTGATGTGTTCTCTTAATATATCTCCATCAGTAATTAATTGGTTTCAAAGTTATCTTTGTGGCCGTCGGCAGTATATTCGTGTCGATGAAACTCACTCATCTTGGTGTGATATTACTGCAGGCGTGCCGCAGGGCGGCGTGTTGTCACTCTTTTCCATTTTCATTAATTCAATCACTCATAAAATATCTTCTCTCTACCACATGTGTGCGGATGATGTCCAGATTTACACCCAGTCAACTCTTGAAAATTTGCCGAATACAATCGCTATTTTGAATAGGGATCTAAATTTTATTCATGAGTGGAGTAAATCATAAGGCATAAACAATCCAAAAAAGTCTCAGGCTATCATTATTGGTAGCCAGAGCTTTATCTCAAGAATTGACTGATTCTCTGTACCACCTATCGTATTCGATGGAGTTATAATCCCTTACTTTGACAATGTCAAAAATCTTGGTATTTATACTGATAATTCCTTAAATTGGAAACGCCAACTGAATGAGGTAAGTAAGAAAACTTTTGTCGGTCTTTGTTCCCCGCGTCGCCTTCGATCATTTCTTCCCATTCCTACAAAAATTATGCTCGCACAGTCTCTTCTCCTTCCGATTCTTGACAATGCTGACGCAAGCTATGTAGAAATAACTGAGGACCAGCTAAATAAGCTTAAGAAACTTCAAAATACTAGTATTCGGTTCATATTTGGATTGCGCAAATTTGACCATATTGCCCAATTTCGCTCACGTCTCAAGTGGTTACCTATCCGACTTCGCCGGAACATGCATATTCTTTCTATTCTGTACTGTGTATTATTTCTATCTAGAGGAGAAGTTTAATTTTGTGGGGCTTCCGGGGGAACCTTTGCGCTCTTCAAGAAAATTCATTTTAAGGGTACCTATTCACAATACATCATTTTTTAATAAATCTTTTACTGTCCAGTCTATTAAGCTCTGGAATGCCCTACCTTTGCATATACTTGAAGCACAAACTATTAGTTAGATTTAGTTATCTATAAGCGACTACATATAGAGCATTACTTGTCTCAATCGTTCGGACACTGTTAGGATAGATTGTGTGATTATGTATTTATTGTATCTATCAGCTTTATATTATTGTTTGAGGAATTTTTGTAATTTATATATGTATTTTTGGGCAGATATGTAAGTTTGTTTATATAATTATATAGGTATATATGTATGTATTAGGGACTGTAGTGGACTGTATGAATTTAATGTATAAAACTGGTTGACTGACTAATTACTACGCTAGGGACTGCTTAATACGCCGCGAGCGTCTTGCAGTTAACATCTGTGACAGTTTGCTCCGCATATAAATAAGTGCATTGTAGCTAAAAAGTAAATTACTAGTATCTATTTGGCAATTTTCTTAAAGTATTTGAACTGGGCTATCCAGTGGTGAACTCTGTTTTTAATTTCGCGTTGTAACATTCAAGTTATAAACAAATACAATTCAAAAAATTGTATTCGACCGTTACGTACTGACCGACGACAACCCGCAGCGCTTTTGTTGCTGTGAGTCACCGTCACTTGTGGCTGGCCGGCCGCCGCGCTGTCGAGTGCATCAAGCTGTGTAGTGGACACGATGACGTGTTATAATGGAAGACAGCGCATTCATGAGGTGCACCAAATGTAAACAATACTACGATATTCTGTGTGTCAATTTTAAGGTAGAAGTATTTGCAACAATGTCATCAGAATTTAAAAATATGTGGATATGTTTCGAATGCCGTAGCAAAATACCTAAGCTTGATAATTCACTTACGCCAGTACGCCAGCAGTTGAGCCACGACACGACTGCCGTTGGGGATTGCTTGGATGTATCGATGCATACCCCGGATAATGTCACATTCCGAAACGGAAAGCGTCCTGCGCAATTAGTGGTAAAGAGCAACCCGTGCCCCCAAAATACGGCTCCTTTAGTACATGAAATAAAACAAATGCAGGACGACTTCGAATTGCGCCTTACCATGAAAATATGCGCACTACTTAACGAAAAATTTAATGTATTCAAGGCCACGGTATTTGAAAAAATTAGCAATTTAACCTGTAAGATTGACAAATTAGAAGAAACAATCCTAACAATGGACAAAAATAATAGTGTATCAACGCAGTGCTATGCAGCGGCGGTACAGCACCCTTCAAACGTTGATAGTGGGAAGACTAAGCCGAATGTAAAATCTGGCCCTCAGCAGAAAAATAAGGGAGCTTCGGGCAAACCTAATCCATCTGCAAAAGTAAACGCATCCATCTCTTCTTTAGCGCCAGTTTCAACTTTAGTCTCTGATTCCGTAACTTCAGTTTTGAGTGTGAGCCATGAGGCAATTCTTGCACCCCGGGATGGCGCGGCGCAAAAAGACCCGGAAGAGTGGATACAGGTGAGACGTAAATCTGGACGCGCATCATTGCCCGGCGTTCTTCGCGGCACGGCAGCGCCGGGAGTGACGAAACTGCGTGCATCTGAGAGGTGGAGGTACTTGCATCTCTACTATGTCCAAGAGGGTACCACAGTCGAGGAGGTGCGTACTCATCTACACTCTATTAGTGGAAACAATGATTGCTCAGTGGAAGAACTGAAACCTAGGGGGCGTTACTCATCGTTCAAGCTGGGAGTCCCGTCCAGAATTGCGTTATGTCACCAAGCAACTGGGCTGAAGACATCTGTATAAAACCGTGGCGTCAGAACTTTCGTGCCAAGGATAAAAGTGCGTAACCTATATTTTTGTTATCAAAACGTTAGAGGTCTACGTACAAAATCGAATACTTTTAGGAATAATGTGACTCAATGTAATTTTGATATTATAGCCTTGACTGAAACCTTTTTGAACAGTTCCGTATCTGACGGCGAATTATTTACTTCGGAGTATTTAGTAGTGCGTAAAGACCGCGCAGGCGACGTCGGGTGGGGAGGAGTGCTCCTTGCTGTACGAAACGGTTATACAGTGCAACAAGTAACTAATATATATACTTATACGCCTGATATGGAACTGCTTTTCGCCATTATTGGTGGAAAAAGTGTTGAAAAGTTTTTATGTTGCGTTGTTTATTTGCCTCCTAAATGTTGTGATAATCTATATCTCAACGTCTTGACGTGTATTGAAAATGCTATTATTTCATATTCCTCTCTGAATGTCTTAATAATTGGAGATTTTAATTTGAACTCTTGTAGCGTTAATGTTAAGACAAATTTTAATTCTTTTTGTGACTATAGTGGGCTTCAGCAACATAATATTGTGTATAACAAATGTGATGGCATGTTGGATCTCGTCTTGAGCATTTAGCTCGATTTTAACTCGGAGCAGATCTTAGTGTCTGAGGGTTCAGAACCCTTAGTACCAATTGATAAGTACCACCCCCTGCTGGAGGTGACGCTCAGGTTTCAGTGCGACGTGCTGACCCAGTCGCCGTCCTCTCCACCACCGGCTCAGCGCCCTGGAGCTGCTCCAAACTGGAATTGGCGTAAAGCAGACTTTCTGGGCCTATACACGGCATTAATAAGTATAGATTGGTCGGACATTTTTGTAATTGCAGACGTTGACGACGCAGTTGCGTTATTCTATCACCGTCTTTATAATTGTATCAGTCAATATGTTCCTACTAAATCCCGTTATATGTCGAATTATAAGTACGTATATCCAAAATGGTTTAATGCTGATATTAAAAATAATATACGTAAAAAATATTATCATTTGAAACGGTATAAGGCTGAAGGTAAAGAGTTTAACAAGGAATTATTCAAATACTATAGGTGGCATGTTAAAAACTTGATTGACAATGAATATAAGCAGCACTTACATCTGACAGAACAAAATATAATTAACGATCCAGCCAAATTCTGGGAGTACGTTAAGGATAGGAAGAATTACAGACAGCGTACGAACGTTTATTCGTCCGGTGGTGTTGAAGTTGTTGGGCAATCCGCAGCCGACGCTTTTGCAAACTATTTTAGTTCGGTGTATCAGGACGAGGTACCTGTACTGAACCATGTTGATGCGGTACGTGCCGCAGATAGTCAATGTGATACCACTGCAATCACCATAAATATTGTTGACACTACCAAGCTGAAAGAAGCAGTAAGGCGCCTAAAACCGAGATCGTCGGGTGGCCCTGACGGTATCCCTGTTTTTTTAGCAAAGGACTGCATATCCGCTTTTGAGAGTCCGCTCCTGTACCTTTTTAACTTATCACTGACTCACTCTAAGTATCCAGACATTTGGAAAGTTTCTAGGGTCACTCCGGTTCCAAAAACTGCTGGTGAAAACGACGTTTCGTCTTTTAGACCGATTGCAGTCTTATCAGTCTTTGCAAAATTATTTGATTGTCTTATGCCAGCAAATTAATAAACAAACTCAGAATTTATTGCATCATAGTCAACACGGTTTTCGAACAGCCCGTTCTACCACTTCTAATCTTGTGGCTCATCTTGACTATATATATGCTGAGTTGGATGCTGGTAGGCAGGTAGATACTGCGTACTTCGACTTTAAAAAAGCATTTGACCTGGTCGACAATGATATCTTGTTACGTAAATTGGCGGTGATAGGCTTTGCCCCAAAACTTGTCGAATTTTTTTCAAATTACCATTGCATTTGAGTCTAGTGACTATTACATAAGATCTGGGGTAAGTCAGGGAAGTACGTTGGGGCCATTGCTTTTTCTTATTTTCATTAATGACTTAATAACGTGGTTTCCTCAAAATGTCTGTTGTTCGCGGATGATCTCAAATTAAGCCTAGGTGTAGATGGCCCGTCTGACTGCGAGGCATTGCAAAGAGATATCAGTGCGGTTTTGGATTGGAGCGTATTAAATCGTCTTCCCTTTAATGATAATAAATTTAAAATAATAACATTCACGCGTAAACGCTGTCCACTAAATGAAGACTATAATTTATCTGACACGCCCTTAGAAAGGGTAAGCGAAATACGTGACTTAGGATTATTATTAGATGCTAAACTTGACTTTGTGATTTCTGTATGTAAAAAGGCCAGTAAAATGCTTGGCTTCATTATCCGCACTTCTTCACAGTTCGACGGCATAGGGGTCGCTTTGGTACTTTACAATGCATATGTTCGTAATAAGCTTGAATACGGTGCCATTGTATGGAATCCCTATGAGGAGAAATATATTTTGATGATAGAGAGAATACAGCGCAAATTTGCACGATGGCTATATAAGCGGAATTACGGTTATTACCCCTATCTATATCCGTCCTTATTTGTTACTGGTATGGTGGGTTTGGACACTCTCAAACTTAGGCGGGCTATGCAATTGATAACATACTACCTAGCAATCATCCATAATAAAATAGATAGCCCGACGATATTAAGCAGAGTGGGGTTATTGGCTCCGAAGCGGCTGGGCTATGATGGTGAGGGGACGGTGGCACCGCGGCGGCGGCCGCGTCTTCTGTGGCGGCCGCCGGCGCGGACCAGGTGCGGCGCTCACGCGCCCACTACTCGCGCTATACGGCTTATTGGAGATATGATCGCACTCGCACTCGCACATGATTACGAGACTGACTTATTTGCTGATAGCTTTAGGCAACTATGTAATAAGGCCCTTCTATTTTTGACATTCAATTTTGACATATTGTAATATATTAATTTAATCTTAGCTTAGTTAATTTGAAAATGATATTTTGTTTACTCTATTTGACATAGTATAATCTTCTATTTGGCATCTATTTTTTATCTATTTGACATCTATTTTTTTATTTTATTTTTTTTATTTGGACATGTATCTTAATCAATTACTTATTATTTAAGTGTAATTTGTAAATTAGCATGCTGACGTTTTGGGCATACTGTAAGCCAGCATGTACACTGTTTTTTTAAAAAAAAAAATAAAAAAAAAATAAAGGAAAGATGGTACTGTAGACTATACTGTACTTAAATATTTACAAATGCGGCACTAATAAACTATATACAGAGAGGGGAGTCTTCACTCTTCAATATTCAATGGAGTATCTCTTGATTTCTCTTGATGCTTCTTCTCTTGCTGTTGTCTTCGAGTGCCGCTTCCGAAATGAACAGCTCACAGATCAAAACGCCCTTCTTATATCTCGCAAGAGAGCGTCTCAGTATGTGAGTAGCGTCGTTAGGCGATGCCGCGCGCTGATTGGTCGGTGACATTGCGTGATCTGCTGCCGGTGTGCGGGGTGCGCGGGGCGCAACGGGGTATGAAGGGGCGACGGGGCGGCGGCTCCTTTCGAAGCCCGTAACATCATCTCCCTGGCGTAGCCTGTGAGCCTAAACTTCCCTCGGGAGGACGGCTATCTTCCTGACGAGTCGCCGCAGCACTCCGCCCTTGGTTCTGACCTCGACGTTGCGTACCACGCCGTCCGGTCCAGGAAATGTCTTCATGACAACCCCCCGCGGCCACACGTTTCTTGGTAGGTTGCCGTCCGCAACCACGACGAGGTCCTCTTCTTGAATTTAGCGCTGCTGAGCGTCTCGGGTGTCCCCGCGCGAAACCAGCGTCGGCAGGTACTCTTTCACCCAGCGCCTCCAGTACTCGTCGGCGAGCCCCTGCGCCGCTCTCCACGCCCGACGATCGGTGGGTGTGCACGGTGCAGTGACTGGTAGGCCCGATGGTCCCAACAGGATGAAGTGGTTGGGTGTCAACGCCTCTTCGTCGTTGATGTCGTCTGGTACGTGCGTCAATGGTCGAGAGTTCACTGTATTCTCTGCTTCTGTCAGGAGCGTCGCTAACGTCTCCTCCCGTGGGCTCTTCTGATGTAGAGTGGCTTCGAGTGCGGTCTTCACTGAGCGCACGAGACGCTCCCATGCGCCTCCCTGGTTAGGCACGCCCGGTGCGATGAATTTCCATTCTGTTCGCCGAGTCAGCGCGTAGTCCTTCAGCTGCGGTGCCCACTCTTCCATCGCCCGTTGCAGTTCAGTATTTGTCCCATGAAAATTTGTGCCATTGTCGGAGTATATGACCCGTGGCCACCCACGCCTAGCCGCCATGCGCCGCAATGCCGATATCGCCGAGTCCGTTGTCAGGGAGTAAACTAGTTCTAAATGAACCGCGCGCGTCGTTAAGCACGTGAATAGTGCTACCCACCGTTTTTCGTGCCGTCTTCCTATCGTAACTATCAGAGGCCCGAAATAGTCGACTCCGGTGTACGTAAATGGTCGCGCAAATGCCCCTAACCGTTCGGGTGGTAGGTTTCCTGTAACAGCAGGCCGTGGTGTCGCCTCGCGTACACTGCATCGCAGACATCTCCTCTCCGCTTCTCGTACGGTAGGTCGTAATCGGCGGATGTGAAACCTGGTGCGGAGGTCGTTGACCACCCTCTCTCTGTTGGCGTGGCTTGCTTCCTGATGCGCCTTTTCTACAAGCAGCTTCACGAATTGGTGGCGTCCATTCAGTAATAATAATAATAATCATACTAATAATAATAATAATAATAAATTATTATTATTATTATTAGTATGATGGGTCTTTTCATCTGGCCGTCCACGTCAGCTGCGTCGATTCTTCCCCTGGCTCGTAGCATTCCATCTTCCAATATGGGGTCGAGCTTCCTCAGTGCGCTGCTGGTGGCCAGGTTCTTTTCCCGATGAAGGCGGCTGATGTCTTCAGCGAAGCTTTCACGTTGGCTGTGTTCTATTCACATGCGCTCTGACCTCTGGATGTGCTGCAATGTCAGTCCTTGTGGCCTTCC